GTGTCCCTCGCCACCACGATCCTCGGTCAGGACTTCCCCAGGAAGAATCCAGTGGCTGGAGAGATGCGGGGGTTAATGACGGTGCCACCGCGGTTTTAGACGGGCCTCGTCTGCACCGTGTTCTTGGCGTTCTCCGGCCAGCAGCAGCAGACGCCACCCGGTTGCCCTGGCCCGACGGCTCTCTGGCATCGCTGGCCTTGGCCCGTGGGGCAGCTGATTTATGGCCACTGCTATTTATGGGACAGCTGTGCTCGGGGCCTTTAGTGTCTGGCAGAGCTGGCAGGTACCAGTTTTTGAAGCGCTTGGGGGACATTTCACAGAAGAGGCGCGCTGGCCCCCGTGCCTGGCCACGTTTCTGGGCCCTGGCTGAAAATCCCGTGCAGCGGGGAGAGGATCCCAACAGGGTATTAATTTAACCTTCCAGCCATGTGCTTTTGCTAAAGATCATAAACTCTGAAAATTACCGGCCGAAATTTGGAATGGAGGTCGGCTGTTCGGGACATCACCCTCTTCTGAGCGGGAGAGACGTGGGTGCCCACCAGTGTCTCACTCCCACGTCTGGGCCTGTTTCCAGCGACCCCCGTGCCTCTCAAAGGCACAGGCCTGAGTTCACAGAGACCACTGGCTGAGCCCTGCCTCTGGGGCTCCCCACTGTCTGGCTTTGTCGTGGACTCGTCATCTGTGGATTTACCACATGCTTGAAGCTGGAACGGCAGGAAGGGGCAGTTCCTGAGGCCCAGCTGCCTCCGCAGAGTTGGTGGGGAGGCCATGGCCTGAGGCCAAAATGCGTCCCCTGGATGAAAATGACCCCAGCCCTGTAGTCTCCAGACAGTGGCTAGAGCCCCACCCTCCACAGGCACCGCCTCCTGCCGCCCCTTCAAAAAGGTGTTGCAGCCCACGGCCCAGATACTCGACTTTCTAATATAAAGTGAGGCCTGTAGGGTTTCCCAATCAACATGAGGGTGCCTTCTCCTCTGCAGCCCCCCGACTTGTACAGGCAGTCCTGGGGCTCTGCCCCATCCGTGAACCCTCAGCTGAAGAGGACGGCCCCAGAGGCGGCCACATTCAGGTGGCTGGAGGCAGAGTCCTCCCTGCAGGAACTTCCCCCAGCGCTGCCAGGGTCTGTGCACCTCCTTCAGCCCCAACTCAGGAGAGCCTTCGGGGCTGAGAGCACGCAGACCCTCATGTGCCAGGCGTGAGCATTGTCTTCAGATGGGACCAAGTGGGCCTCACTGTTGTGACAACTGAATGTGACGTCTGGGGTGTAATTCCAGCGTGCCCTGGTTCTGGGGTGTAATTCCAGCCCTGACCTGGTTCCTGGGGTGTAATTCCAGCGTGACCCAGTTCCTGGGGTGTGATTCCAGCGTGACCCGGTTCCTGGGGTGTAATTCCAGCCCTGACCTGGTTCCTGGGGTGTAATTCCAGCGTGACCCGGTTCCGGGGGTGTAATTCCAGTGTGCTCTGGTTCTGGGGGTGTAATTCCAGCATGCCCTGGTTCCGGGGGTGTAATTCCAGCGTGCCCTAGTTCCGGGGGGTGTAATTCAGCGTGCCCTAGTTCCCTAGAGAATTGTAATTCCAGCGTGACCCGGTTCCTGGGGGTGTAATTCCAGCGTGCCCTGGTTCCGGGGGTATAATTCCAGCCCTGACCTGGTTCCTGAGGTGTAATTCAAGCGTGCCCTAGTTCCGGGGGTGTAATTCCAGCACGTGACCCAGTTCAGGTGTAATTCCAGCGTGACCCGTTTCCGGGGGTGTAATTCCAGCGTGACCCGGTTCCGGGGTGTAATTCAAGCGTGACCCAGTTCTGGGGGTGTAATTCCAGCGTGCCCTGGTTCGGTGTAATTCCAGCATGACCTGGTTCCTGGGGTGTAATTCCAGCCTGACCTGGATTTTACCGCAGGGTGTAATTCAGCGTGACCCAAGTTCACAGGGAGTGTGATTCAGCGTGACCCGGTTCCTGGGAGTGTAATTCCAGCCCTGACCTGGTTCTGCCCTGGTTCCGGGGGTGTAATTCCAGCGTGACCCAGTTCCGGGGGTGTAATTCCAGCGTGACCCGGTTCCGGGGGTGTAATTCCAGCGTGACCCGGTTCCGGGGGTGTAATTCCAGCGTGACCCGGTTCTGGGGGTGTAATTCCAGCGTGTCCTGGTTCTGGGGTGTAATTCCAGCGTGTCCTGGTTCTGGGGGTGTAATTCCAGCGTGCCCTGGTTCTGGGGTGTAATTCCAGCATGCCCCGGTTCCGGGGGTGTGATTCCAGCGTGCCCCGGTTCCGGGGGTGTGATTCCAGCGTGCCCCGGTTCCGGGGGTGTGATTCCAGCGTGACCCGGTTCCGGGGGTGTGATTCCAGCGTGACCCGGTTCCGGGGGTGTGATTCCAGCGTGACCCGGTTCCTGGGGTGTAATTCCAGCGTGACCCGGTTCTGGGGGTGTAATTCCAGCGTGCCCTGGTTCCGGGGGTGTAATTCCAGCGTGCCCTGGTTCTGGGGTGTGATTCCAGCATGAACCAGTGGCGATTGTAGGGCGGAGTGGCTGACGAGACTGGGGGAGCGCACCTGTTCCCCCTCCCCTGCCCTGGGCACCACTGTGGAAGCAGCCCCTGGCCTCGTCCTCCAAGCTTGACAGCTCAGACCGCACTCCCCACTTTCTCTGTGGCTGGACTTGCCCCGGGCCAAAGGCTGGGGACGCCTGGGCTATGGAGCCCCAGGACGGCCTGGCAGGACCCTCAGCAGAGTGTGGCTTTATGGGCCCTGGTCAGTGAGCTGCAGGCTGTGTCCTGGGAAGGCCTTGTAATCACGATTACCCTGTGATTTTCTTCCTGGCTCCTGGACGTCAGCACCTCCTGGTCACCCACCCCATCTAAAACCTCAGCCTCCCTACTCAGTGTGCAGGGCGGACAGTTTAAACCTGGACCTCCCTACTCAGTGTGCAGGGCGGACAGTTTAAACCTGGACCTCCCTACTCAGTGTGCAGGGCGGACAGTTTAAACCTCGGCCTCCCTACTCATTGTGCAGGGGCGGACAGTTTAAACCTCGGCCTCCCTACTCAGTGTGCAGGGCGGACAGTTTAAACCTCGGCCTCCCTACTCAGTGTGCAGGGCGGACAGTTTTAAACTCTCGGCCTCCTACGCAGTGTGTGAGACGGATGATAGAAAGATTTGAATGAGTGAATGAAAGTAGGGACTTGAAAAGTCAGCACAAAAGCAACAAAATGCAGCAACTCCACTGGGAATCCCTGGGTGGAAAGCTCTGGTTGACTTCCTCCGGACTCAGAGGCTGGTGAGATTCTACAGTCGAGCGGCCCATGGGTCAGTTCCTGTGATGCCTCAGTGTGGCGGGAAGGTGCCTTAGCCCTGGATGACCCCTACTCAGTGTGCAGGGCGGACAGTTTAAACCTCGGCCTCCCTACGCAGTGTGCAGGGCGGATGATAGAAAGATTTGAATGAGTGAATGAAAGTAGGGACTTGAAAAGTCAGCACAAAAGCAACAAAATGCAGCAACTCCACTGGGAATCCCTGGGTGGAAAGCTCTGGTTGACTTCCTCCGGACTCAGAGGCTGGTGAGATTCTACAGTCGGGAACGGCCCACATGGGTCAGTTCCTGTGATGCCTCCAGTGTGGCGGGAAGGTGCCTTGGCCACACAGATGACTCGGCCCTGTGCTCACGACCACCGGGACCTGTGGTGGGGGCTGCAGGGGAGGCTGCACGTAGCACAGGTGCTCCCGTATCGCGAGCTGCTGGAAAACAGTTTCCGTCGGTCGCAGCTGCTGGTGGACTCGTCGGCACCCAGCTGTGGTGGGGAGCAGCTGCATGGACTCGCAGGCTCAAGCCTGGGGCTAAATATTTGCTTTCAAATTGGAGATGCTTTTGTTTACTGCAGGAGGCTGCCGGACCCTCTGTGGCGGCGAGTGTTGGCACCGGGAGCCTGTGTGCCGGTTTTAGGGGCCACTCATAGGCCCTAGGTGGTGATGGGAGGGGAGTTTCCCTCCCTGTGGCTGACTCTGCTGCCAAACAGAATCCACACAGCATTCGCCCTGAGCAGCGCCACGCATCTGTTAGGAATTTGCGTGCACCATTGCGAGGGCTTTAGAGCCACTGCGCTGTCTGATGTCTCCTCTAAGTAGCACGAGAGACCTAAGACCAGCAGGAAAACAGCAACCGCAGGAATGCCGGCCGGGACCGCCTCGCTGCTCCCGCTGACTGCAGGCCTGCCTGCTTTCTTCCCGACACCCCTGCAGAAGCAGGCACAAAGGCTGGGGTGGGCGCAGGCCGGGAGCCGGTGTTGGCTCTGGCCCAGGCCTGGCGGAGCGGCCTTGGGGACCTGGTGCCCGACCTGTAGGCTCCTCCCCACAGCCCTAGACTTCTAGGGAGGGCTGGGTGGGTGAAAGCTCTAGAAACTCAGGAGCCCCCTGTTTTGTCCAAGGCTGCCAGGTCACAGCCTCCGCACAGCCCATCGCTTTAGAAGGGGAATCAGGAGGACCGTGGAGGCGGTCCAGCCTCCACGACAGTGTTTTCGTTTTGCAGTGACAGACGGCTTCTCTCCTGGAGCAGTCATTCCCCTTTGCAGTTGGATTTTTACTGACTCCTGAAAGCCGTCTTGTTGTGTATTCGAGTTTACCAAATGTGCAGACATTTATCAAACCGAGTGTTGGGAGCAGAAATGCCGTCGTGCGTCCAAGTTGAAATTTTCGCTTTGATTCCTGCGAATCCACAGGCCCCTGGGTCCAGGGCTCCCACCGCAGTTTGCAAGTGGACTTTCATAGCACGTTAGTGCTGCAGGAGAGTCCAAGGAAAACAGTCCTCGCCAGTATTAGAACCAGCTGCGACTCTCGGCCGATGACTCACACGTTTTTTTTCCTAATGGGGTGAGAGAACCAGGCAGGAGACACAGGGACCCAGTCAGGGCCCTGTCGGTTTTGCGGAGGGCGTCCCAGCCACAAGCCTGCCTGATCATACTCATCTGCAAATCTGCAACTGGTGTTTATTTAACTTCTCTTTTCCTTCTCACAGTTCCAATGATAAAAACAGAACCCACGGATGATTATGAGCCTGCTCCAAACTGTGGGCCGGTGAGCCAGGGGTTAAGTCCTCTCCCAAGACCATACTACAGCCAGCAGCTCGCAATGCCACCTGACCCCAGCTCCTGCCTCGTGGCCGGCTTCCCGCCCTGTCCGCAGAGAAGCACCCTGATGCCAGCAGCCGCCGGTGCGAGCCCCAAGCTCCACGACCTTTCTCCCGCCGCCTACACCAAGGGCGTCGCCAGCCCGGGCCACTGCCACCTCGGACTCCCGCAGCCGGCCGGAGAGGCCCCCGCCGTCCAGGACGTGCCCAGGCCAGTGGCCTCGCACCCCGGCTCGCCCGGGCAGCCGCCCCCGGCCCTGCTGCCGCAGCAGGTGAGTGTGCCTCCAAGCAGTAGCTGCCCCCCTGGTCTCGAACACTCACTCTGCCCCAGCAGCCCCTCTCCTCCACTCCCGCCCGCCGCCCAAGAGCTGACCTGCCTGCAGCCCTGCAGCCCAGCGTGCCCGCCCGCCACGGGCCGCCCGCAGCACCCGCCGCCCACGGTCCGCAGGGATGAGTCTCCGGCCGCCCGGCCACGGCTGCTGCCAGAGGCGTGTGAGGACGGTAGTCCTAATTTGGCCCCTATTCCTGTAACGGTCAAGCAAGAGCCTGAAGAGTTGGACCAGTTGTACCTGGATGACGGTGAGTGCCCGTGGCCATGCAGATGTGGTCTCGGCCCGGCGCGGCGGCGTGAGCTCACGGAGGGGCCGGGTGCGTGCTGCATGTGTGGCACGTGTGGAAGTGCACCGAGGCCCTGGGCTGGGTGTGGGGTGCGTCCTCCTGATATAAAGTGCCCCCGTGTGGTGCCATGGCGTCAGCGCCAGCTGGGGTGCCCACCATGAGATCTGCTCCAGTGATCACGTGTGGGGCCCCTGGCGGGTCCCGGGCTGCAGACCCTCCTACAAGACTGTCCCGGGGTCTAAGGCTCACGTTGGGTGCCCAGGTTTGCTTCTGCAGCTGAACATGGAGCCACGAGGCTCAGGCTCAAAGCCCTGACCTGGGGGGGGACCGGCGTGCGCGGTCGGGGCATTCTGGGTGCTGCCTGAGTCCTGTGAACGGCTTGTAGACAACAGCTTAGCTGAAGTGATGAGCACATTACCCTGTGCGGTTCTGTAAACACTTCTAAATGCTGCGGCATCCTTGCCAGGAGCTCGGGGGACGGCCGTGACACCGGGGGCCCTAGACTGTGCCTTCAGGCCCCAGGTGCAGGGTCTTCCCCATCCAGCCCCTGGGCTCGCACAGTGCAGAGACGCTCCCAACACCGCGCACCCGGGCTTGTTTGGGAAGGAAGTGGCCTCACGTCTGTAGCCAGGCGGGTGGTGTGGGGAGCCCTGAGCGCTCAGGCCTTTCTGTGAGGAGTGGTGACCGAAGGCGCTGTGGCATTCTTGGCGAGTGTTTACATCTCAAGGCACAGCCCAACTTCCTTGCGCTGTGATCAGGGACGCGCCCACGGCTGTGGGGACCATGCGTTAGAGGGCGGTTCAGCCCATGTTTTCTGGCCCACTCCCTGCCCCGTGGTTTGGGGTCCAGGTGAGCCTCGGCCTTCTGGGGAGGGGGCGGCATCAGCCCCTCCTGACCTGGGGGCAGGGACTCCCGGGCGTCGGGGGCTCAGTTTCCATCTGCTGGGAAGGGAGTGAGGCCTCCCTGCTGTTTCTGATGGAAGGCTACAAGCTTTTTGGGGAGAATGCATGCAAATATTTTAGCCCCCAAAGCATGAAGCTCTTCAGTCCGCAGCCCTGGTGTGTGTGTGAGCTTGCGGTAGTGTGTTCCATGGAGCCTGGAGCCCTGGTGTGTGTGTGTGTGTGTGTGTGTGTGTGTGTGTGTGTGTGTGTGTACTGAGCTTGCGGTAGTGTGTTCCACGGAGCCTGGAGTCCTGGTGTGTGGAGGGGTGTGTGTGTGTGTGTGAGCTTGCAGTAGTGTGTTCCATGGAACCCGCAGCCCTGGGGTGTGTGTGTGTGTGTGTGTGTGTGTGTGTGTGTTGAGCTTGCGGTCGTGTGTTCCATGGAGCCCGAGCCCTCATCATCTGTTTTTGCGGGAGTGTGTCCCATCAGATCAGGAGGCTGCTGCCTCCCTGGGGCTGTCCCTCGGAGCCACACACTGGAGGCCCGTGGCTGCCCCCAGCCACTCTCTGGAGGTTTATGATGACTGTGGGGCGGGGCCAGGACAATGTTCCGTGTCCTGTGCAGATGTCGTTCTGAAGTTCTGTCTGACCTGCCTGCTGTCCTCCTTGTCCCCCGCGAGGTCAGCTGGGGCTCCGCGTGGGGCCTGTGTCCCTGCTCTGCTGCCTCCTGGGCACAGATGGACTCTACCTTCCTCCCCAGCCCCTGTGCAAGGTGGACGCTGGCATCCGTGCCTCCAGCCCCTCACCCCTGCGTCCGTGCCTGCAGCCCCTCACCCCTGCGTCCGTGCCTCCAGCCCCTCACCCCTGCTTTGTCTTACGTGGTGCCACATGGTCCCGAGGTGGCTGGGAGATGCTGAGAAGTTCTCTTCCCACCCGCCACGCCTTGTCCCAGCTGTGACCCACCGGCCCTGGGCTTCCACGTCTGGGCAGTTCCCACAGGCCCAGGTGGGAAGCAGGTCTCGTTTCTGTTTCTGCTGCCCTGGGGTTCACGTGTGGCTTTATGGCGAGGGGAGAGTTTGGGGTGGGACTTGGGGTGGGGGAGCCAGGGAAGTGCTGGGGACTGGGACGTGTTCTGCGTCAACACAGCAGGCGGGGGACTGTTGACCCGCATGGTGCTCAGGCGAAATCATCCCTTACCCAACCCGTGACTGCCAATGCCTCACCAGGTCGCCCGGGCCCCTCTGGCCTTGGTCCTAGAGGTCAAAGCTAAGTGAGCCAGGCCTCACCTTGGGGCTGGTGGGCCACAGAGGGTGGGCTGCTGTGTTGCTGCGTGCACAGGCTGGAGCTGCGTGGGGTGTGGGTGTGACCCCGCCCTGGCCTACCTGACCGTGGGTGGAAATGGAGGGGTCGTGACCGGGCAGGGGTTGCACGGACGACTCCCTGATACGTGGAAGGGCTGAGGCCAGAGTGCATCTGCTGTGCAGCTGGGCCTGGCCTACAGCTCCTCTGAGGGTGCCCGATGCCACATTCCCGTTGGGGCCTCTCCTGACCGCCAGTGACCCTGGAGCCCAAGATTCGCCAGCTTAAAGCAGTCGCTCACACCCCTTTTAAGAAAGTCTCTGTCCCAGAGTCCTGCCGTCGGGACACTTGAGGACAACCTCTCCCCGCAGGGTGAGCTCAGTTCCCAGCAGGCCTCTCTCCCCATGTTCCCCGCTCTGTTGCCGTGGTGATCATCCCCAAACTCGGATCTAACGGGTCACGTCCTGTTCAAAAGACCCAGGGGTTTCTGTGTTGCCAGAGCAGAGATGGCCTTGGAGTCTGGCTCCAGCCTCCCACCACCCCAGCCCACGAACCACAGTCATCTCGTACATGCACGTCTCATCAGGCTCAAGGCCGGTCCTGGGACCTTGAGTACAGGCCCCGAGCGCCCTGTCCCCGAGCAGCCCTGCACGTTGTTCTGGGCACAATTTATGAGTCCTGTGTTCATTCTGTTTCCATAACCCGGGACCAGCCACACACAAGCTTTCGGGGTCAGCCTATGGCGCTAGGCGGTGCTACTTTGGGCGTCAGGGTTGGGATGGAGGTTGAGATACCTGTGCAGACACCTCCCTATGATGTGGCAAATGTGTGCAGGTAACGTCGTCCATTTCATCTCCACCTGTGAGGTCCCTTCAGGCCCAGCCAGGACCACAGCAGTTAAGGCTTTGGGCTGCTGGAAGCAGTGTCAGCCGTGGCCTGATCTACCCCTCGGGCAGACAGCCCCTCTCAGTCCTTCACAGGCGGGCGGGCGGGCAGGGCACGTGGCAGAAGTAGTCCACAGGCAGGCGGGGCGCGTGGCAGAGGAAGTCCACAGGCGGGCGGGGCGCGTGGCAGAGGAAGTTCTGCTCACAGTGTATATGAAGGGGAGGGGAGGGGAGAGTCCTGGGGGCCGAGGGGGTGCAGGCGGGTGGTCCCTGGTGCAGGCCTGACATTGCTGCTGCCCTGGGAGACAGGCACCAGGCCGTGGGCTCCAGGTTCCTCCTGAGCACCCAGGGGTAGGTCCACCCACTCTAGACACCTGCCCCTCCCCAGTGAGAAGAGCAGATTCAAATGTTTATTGCTCTGTCGGAGCCGAGTGGATGGAGCCTTCACTGGGAATGACACGGGCCGAGCTGTTTCCCGTGTTCTGAGTGGACGGGGCTGTGGACAGGGCACTTCCTGTCCTTGTGAGAAGATGGCTGGAGCGTCCCCCCAAGATGGCCGGGAAGGGTCCCAGGTCAAGGTTGAGTCTGGGTCGGTCACTCCCCTGTAGATGACCTCCGGCTTGCCCTCGGTCCCTGGAACCTGGAACCCACACCCCAGGTTCACAAACACCGTGACATAAACGAGGTCAGGGCCCAGGTTGTGTCGGGAAAGCCTCACGCAGGGCGAAGACCTGAATTGCGAGGTGAAACCCTGAGTCCCCTAGACCCCAGCAAGCTCCACGGAAATGCAGGGGTCCACGTAGGGGCCATCTCAATGGGGACAGTGGGAGAGGGAGGCAGGCTGGGGTGAATGTGGGTAGTGCTGGTTTAGTATTAATATATATTTTGTCTAATTTCACGTCCCCTAAAAGAATCAGGCACCGCAGCAGCCACCCTGGGGCTTAGTCACTGGCTTAGAAAGTGGGCAAGCGTGACCTGGAGTTGGGGGGCAGAGAAAGGTGGGGAGCACAGGGCCCCCCGACCAAGGGATGATCTCAGGACCTGGAGAAGGAGCAGAGACGGGAGACAGGAACAACCACGAACCCAGGTCAAAAGTCGGTGCCGTGCGTGCCAGGTGTCCTCAGCAGGTAGAAATTGTCTCTGTCTTTGTTCGTTTACACAACAGGGAGAGAGTGAAAAGCTGGGGTTGGAGCAAACAGGAGAGAAATAAGACTGTGTGGTGAGGGCAAGACTTGGACACCTCTGACTATCTGTAAATGGGCCTGTGGGACCGAAGGCAGGGGACCTCCTGGCCAGCCCCGAGCCTGTGGCAGGACGTGGGCATGGCAGGTGCCAGAAGCCGGGTCCACGTCTCCAGCCTCCCTGGCTTCCCTTCTGCGTTCCGCCGGCCTCGCCGCCGCCTCCAGAGCCAACAGCCTGGCATGGGGCGCCGATTGAGTCTCCAGCCCTCTGCGAACCAAGCCGTGGTGGATCGCAGAGCTGTGTGCAGGGCTTAGAAAGCGGGGGGACAGGCCAGCGCCTGGGATGTCCTCGTGGGGCCGGGGACCCAGCCCTGGCCCCTGGGCGCCCAGCCATGGTTGAGAGGCTTCCCTCTGCCTGACCAGAATCAGAGCTGTGGGTCCGTGAACTGAGTCACTTCAGGGTTTTGCTGCTTCACGTGAACAGCTGTGCAGAGGAACCAGGCGCAATCCAGGCTCCTCACACACCGAGACGCTGAGGAGGGCCTGCCCCTCAGGATGTAGAAAGAACTTATTCTGTGTGTACAGGTTTTGCGTTTGTTTTGTTTGGGTTTTGATTTTGTTTAAATAATAGAATAGTGTCCAGTTGCAGAGTCTGGGTGGGGGGGTCCACAGTGTCCTCATTTGCATCCCTGAGGGGTTCATAACAGACCCTCCTCC